GGGAGGGAAACGATAGACAACAATAAATAATAATAATAATGGTGAAGATAGGGATAATGAATATAATAAGAAGACCACCCATTATATCAGGCGATTAATCTCAATCGCGTAAGCAAAACAAGAAACAATGGAAAATAATTGCATGACCATACAAATAGCTTCCTTTCTGAGGTATCAAATCGTTACATAGCTATTCTTCATTTCCTTTTGATATAAACATATATATATATATATATATGTTTAAAAGAAATGATTTTTTCTACATTACACTTCCCTCACCCATCCCTTCCTGTCCTTTTTGACGATAAAAATGGATTTGCTGCTGTTTGAAATACTTCCTCCCGTCGCGTGTGAGAAGCATGAGATCGAGAAAGTGCAATACTCTAAATTTATTCCCCACGTTTGCATAACTTGGTGTCAATCCTGGGACGGAGATCAGGTAGAGTCGAATTAGGATGACCTCCCCGACGATCGGTGCACCGTCCATGATCTCAAAGCGATGGAGCACCTCCGTCTCGACCTCCTCGTCGTCCCCCCCGATTATAAATTCCTTTCGCACCACCGCCACCTCCCCCCGCTGGAGGTCCATATTCGCGGTTTTAAACGCCACCCTGCCCAAAATCTGGTCCGCGAGGTGGAAAGTTTGTTTTTCGTAGCGCACTTCAATGTGCAGAAGGTTTTCCACCCCGATTTCCATCGACAGCTCCCGCGTGTTGGCGAGGCCGACAACAGGCCTGCGGCAGCGCCACGGAGGGTCCATCCCTTCGCTTTTCATCTCATTTTGAGGTTCGCGTTCGGTTTCGTTGTCGTTTGGGATGGGGGGTTCTTTTTCGGGGTCCTCCGACGGGCGAGTGATCCAGAGCCCGGCAGAGGCCGTGGTGCTTCGCAGGCCACGCTCGAGGGAGGCCTGGACGACGTAGTCCACCTGCGCGCGGGCCCCGTGGTAGGACTCGTACGTGCGCCCCCCCCCAAAGCTGAACGAAAAAGTCGTCGCTGCGACCACGGCGCCGGGCGCGAAGCGGCGCTGCTGGCGAAGAAAAACCTCCGCGCGGTCGACCGGGCCCCGGCCCGTGGATATCGTCCCGAGGAGCTCGACGAGGAGGCCGCGGTGGTGAAAAGACCCGGCGGTCGGCGTGAGGACGACGTCGCCCTCGACCCGGGCCTCGCCGTCGAAGCGGGGGAGGGTCCCAGGGCTCGCGGGGGGGCCGCGGAGGACGACGCGAAGATCGCAGCCCGAGACCCGCCGCCGCAGCCGCGCGAACAGGGAGGGGGCCGCGCTCACGGTCTCCACCACGCCCGACATCGTTGCTAAACGGAAAGAAGGATCCTAGACGTTTCCCCCTTCCTCTCTTTCTCTGCTGTGTTTTCCGTTACTTTCCTTCTGTTTTTTTTTTGTGTCTTCTTTGGACTTTTTCTTTTGAGGTTTCCTCTTCTGTTGGTTGGTTTCCCTTCCGCTTCTTCGCTGTGTGTTGGGTGTGATGGAAGAAGGATCGGAAGGGGAATGCGGCCGGAATGTGGTCCACCTCCGCCCTCAGACCTAACGGCTCGCAAATTAATCAAAGCCTCCGAGGCAAACCAAATGATTCTATTAGATTAAAAAAAAAAAAGAAGTCCCGAAAAAAAAAAAGTCACGAACCTTCCACCCCTTCCCCAAGACTGCAATAGATGTTCAGAAAGGGAAAAAAAAGCGTACCATAAAGAAAAGGCTAGTATTTTCTGACCTAAAACCTCTTGAACGTGTTAGAGTAAAGGCTTATAGAAAAAAAAAAGCAACCAACTCATCCATCTTTTTCTTAAAATTATATTTATATAAAAACATAATAATGTGCGTTTGATGCTGTCGTGCAACTTAACAAAAGCACTGAAAAGTTTTAACTATCTCTCTTCCCACAGCCCACCCCTCATAATGTTTTAGAATAATATATAGTACATCTTGCTTCCTTTTATATTTATTTGTCATTTTTTTATCATAATTAATCTATGTACTCATGTTTTTGATGAGCCTTCTTCAATATTTTTCATGTTTCCCCACATCAGCGTGATGGAAACCATCATTAGAAAGCTAATTGGAAGCGAGATGGACGCTAAAGGACCTTGAAAAAGGGCAATATCTTTCTCATAGAAACCAATCACTTTACTACCACTTTCTCCTTTGTATTTTTCGTTTCTTTCCGGATTCATATTTGGACTTCCTACGGGATTTGTAGGGCTCGAGATGTCTTCATCTTTTGAATTCGACGATGCGCGTGAGGAAGGTTTCTTTGGCGAAAACCACTTTGAGAACATTCCCCCACTACTTTTATTATTAGCGCACACATTATTAGGATCCATATTATTTTTATTCAAAATAATCCACCTTGTTGGGTCCGAAGAGCTCGAACTTGGCGGCGGGACGACGACAGCCACTTTTACATGCTTTCCTTCCACCGAATGTTCTTGCGAGGAGTTTGTTTGCACGCTGGAATTACCAACAATTTGATAAATCGTCAATCGCCGGCGTAAAATGCTCTTTCGCAAAACAAATCTCGCCTTTCGCATGGCATCGCAGAGAATGACATGTCTGTGGATCGGATGCCGTGATTCGCGTAGAAGCTCCCCGCCAAACACCCACCCCTCCGTCGATAAGCCGCTCTCCAGAGACTCAAGTTTTAATGAAAGCGTCTTCGGCAAATTATTCCAAACCGTCGAGGACGACGCGTTTGCTTTTGATAGTTGAAGAATGCCATCATGAGTATTACTAGTTGTTTCTAATAAATTGCTTGTTGGCCATTCGCCCTGGCAGTAGATTTGTCCTCTTCTAAATATCCCAATGCATTGATTTTCATAATACCCCACGAAGGTCGTCTCCTCCACGGACGAATTGAGGTCAAAAGGCAAAAAAGGCCGTGGTCCACCCGGGTGATGCGGGCGATCGTGATTATCGGGACGGCCGTCCTCCGCCCTCTCCCCGTCGTTGTTTTCCCCCGCGTCGCTAATGCAGGAGCAGAAGCTCGAGTTATTCACGAAGCTTTCGCATCCGTCGGTGCTGGAGTTGGAGATCTCGCGGGTGGTGGGGGTGGAGGAATCGACCGTTCGAATGCCCTCCCGCAGGGTGTGGTCCTCTGTTCCCACCCGATTGCCATTCAAGGGGGAAAGATGAGGCTGCTGGCGGGCCGAATCGCCCAACCGCGCGGAGTTCGTTTTAAAAAGTCGCGGGGTGCCTTTCCCATCATAGGTGCTCATCGAGGCGGCCTCACGCAGGCGATGTTCCTCGCGTTGGAGCCGCTCGCCCATCGGGTCGGTCTTCCCGGTCCCGCCGAACTCCGGGAGAACCTGATCGGGCTCGACAAAGTCGCGTAGCGTCTTCACCGAGGGCGGGAGATTAAAGAAAATCACCTTTTCCTGCACGCGGGCATCCACCAGCGGCTTCAGCACCCGCCACGCGTTCGCCACGACCCAGCCCGAGTTGTACACGAGAATTTTGCTCATAATTTCAGGATACAAGGCCTGCAGGATGATGTTCATGCTCTTCAAAAAGCCCAAAATGGTGGAGTTGACGCTGGAAAGGGTGATTTTCTTGAAGTTGATCACGTACAAACACCGATCGACGCCGAGCGCCTTCGCGAGAAAGCGCCCCCGCTCCATCACTTGGATCTGCGCCCGCAATAAAACTTTCTTCTGAAAGGAATTCAAAACCGACATCAAAATCGCGTGATCGGGGGCGATCCAGACGACGGGATAGCCGTTAACATCCACCCCATAAATGACCGAAAGCATCGACGTGAGGATCGGCGGCGGGCATTCGTTCAAGATGCCGTTGATTCGCTCCTCCTTTCGAAATTGCACGTACGCGCGGAGGCGGGCCTGGGCAGTTTTGCAATCCCACTTTTGCCCAATCAAAAAGCGATAAATCAAATCGCAATCACTGATTTTGTGGTCGTCGTCGATCGGGAGGAGATCCCGAACGGCATCCCGCAGCTCGAGGTTCTTGAGCTTTTGCTTTTCCGTGAAGACGATCTGGCCGGATTCGCTCAGGCGCGCGAAATCCCTCTTGTACTGAATCTCCCATTCCTCCATGACGGCGAAAAAGAAATAAATTCCGGGCTCTAAGCAATTCTCTCCCTTCCCCCAGCCCTCTTTACCAGGAAGGACAATCAAGCAAGCAAGAAATAATAACTATAATAATAAAGTAAATGACAATAGTTAGTATCTATAACTGACCACCACTATGTGTAAAAAAGAGTGCCCCAGTTTC